TGTGCCCTGAGGGATGCTTTCTTCTTTTTTTTTACTTTGCTTGGCCGTCCCATGCACGTTCCCATGGGCGGCGCACCCTTTTCCCCTCCCTTTTTGTCTGCTGCCACCCACACACACACAGACGCAGTGCCGGCCGTATTGCTGTGCGCCGCACGGAGTGCCCAAATGAGGCACGAGGCCGCAGCCACCGTGAGGTGCAAACGTGAGGTGTGCGTGTGCGACCGGGGCAGTTGTTTCTTTTTTTATTCGTGCAGGTGTTAAAATACACAAATGCATCTCTCACAGTCCTCTTGTGCTGCTGGACACGTGAGGTGAAGGAACACCACCTGCCGAAGTGAGTTCGTTTTATTTTCATTTAATTTTGGGAGGGGCATTGCGGGGTTTCCATTTCTTTTCTTTTGTTCTAGTTTTTTTCGTTGGGGCAACTCACTGCGGCTCACGCTGAGTTTGTGCGCCGTGTCCGCCGTTGTGTCGCTGCGTGTCTCCGCGTCTTGTTTCCCACTGCCGCCGGCTGTGCCGCCGACACGCCCCCATTTCATCCTCCTCCTCCTTCCCGCTAGAGGCACCGGCGACGACGGCTCTTTTTTGTTCTCCGCTGCGGCAGAGCAGCGGCAGACTGCGCGGCAGGCTTTGGACCCGCCCCGTCCCTCTCGCCGCGTGCCTTGTCGGGTGTGCGCCGTGCGGCCGGCTTCTCCCCCGCGTGTCTTCCCCCTCGCAGGACGGGGGCGTCGCACTTCGCTTGCGCCGTGCCGCCTGCTGCGGCGTGTGTGCGGGACTCTCTTTTGCGCCTCGCCCCCACACTTCTCTGCGTGTGCGTGTGAAGGGAGTGCGGCCGCGAGGGGTTCGTCCGTCGCCGCCACGGAGGCGCAGACAGTCGCGCTGCGCCAAAACAAGAAAAAAAAGCCGCATGACGCATGCGGGAGGCAGCGTCACTTCGCATGGCGTTCCGCATGATGCGTGCGCCCTGCGGCTGCGGCGGCTGCGTCGGTGCACGGGCGGGGCGCGTGGCTGCCGGAGGACTCGGGGGAAGTGGCGGTCGCCGGCACGTCCACTTCGGCCGCGTGTGTGTGTGTGTGTGGCGGGAAAAAAGGTCCCTTGAGCCCCGCTGCGGTGTGCGGTTTGCCGCTGCGGGCTATCGTGAGGGCACATGCGGAGGAACGTACACAAAACCGTCTTCTGCCGTTGTTGCTGCTTTTTTCCTTAACGGGACGGCAATGCCTCGACCGTTCCTTCCTTCTTTGTTGGCATGTGTGCGTGTGTTGGTTGAGTACACCCATTCCGCGGGCTGCTCATATCTGTGTGTGTGTTTGTCCCTTTTTCTCTCCTTCTTTTTCTGCCCCTCGCTAGACTTTGTGCGTGTGTGTGCTGCGGTGGGAGGAGTGTGGCGATGGCTGGCCGTGCGCTGTTGGTGTGCGCCCTCTGCGTGCTGTGCTGCGCCGCCGGCGGGGGCTGGGCGTGGGGGGAGGGCTACTGCAACGATGCGCAGTGGAAGTTTTTGAAGGCGGCTGGCCCCAATAAATGTTATACAGAACTTCTGCAGGAGTTCTGTGGCAATGAGACGGAGTTTGTGCAGCGAGCCCTGAAGAATGCCACTGAGCTTGAGCAGGGCGGTCCGTGTGGTGCGGAGTTGCGGCGCCAAGCTGCCGTTGTTGACGACGAGGGTGGTGGCTCACGTGCCGGGGCGGGTCACGGTGCTGCAGCGCCTTCTCAACCGGGTGGTGCTGCCAGCAGTCAGGCGCAAGAAGCCAATGGAAAGGATGGCAAAGGCACTCCAAAGCCCGATGCCGCAGTGTCATCGGCACCGACTGCAGGGCAACCAGAGGCGGCGTCGACACTACCAACGCCGCCAGCGCTAACATCAACTGAAGGGCCAGTGGGAACAGGGAAGGAGATGACGTTGGAGAAGACTCCTTCGAAGGAAAATGGTACCGAGGACAGTGTGCCAAGTGATGATAAAGCTGACGGCGGTGACAAGAAAGCTAAGCCCAAAGAAGCCGTGCCGGCCCCAGCTGACCCAAGTAATACACCGGATGGAAGGGCAGTGGATGCAGCTGAAGTGACTGCCCCTTCGGGCGGCGGTGGGACTTCAAGCGAACAGGCTGGAAAGGAGGCTGAGGCGATTGCCGAGGATTCTGCAGGGCCTGTTGCCGCAGCGGCCCCAGGAGCCCAACAGCAAGGTGTAGCTGCCGCTGGCACACCGACGAGCAGCGAAAAGGAGCCTTCGCCAACAGCAGAGGACACCGCCACTGAGGCCAGTCGCCCAGAGAAGACGACTGGCGGTGGCAGCGGCAGCAGCCCCGCGGCGCAGTCGCAGTCGGGGAGTTCCGTGGCGGGAACCGAGTCTGGCGATCCACAACAAAAAGAGCAGCCCGCAGTGCCCACCACACCCAAGCAGGAAGCGGAAAGGAGCGGAGAGAGAGGAGAAGCCGCTCAGCCGGCAGCGGGGGCGGCTGCTCAAGCGGCGGCCACCACCAACTCGACGAGTGCAGCGAAGGCGGCGCCCGGCGACAGCGACGGCAGCAGCACCGTGGCCGCGCACTCCGCCTCCCCTCTTGCGCTGCTGCTTCTGCTTGCGTGTGCGGCTGCCGCTGCGATGATGGCCGCGTGAGAGACATAGAGAGACGGAAAGGGCCGTGCGCACACAGCTCGCCCTTCGCTGTTTTTTTCACGCGCTCCGTGTCTGCGTGCGCCCCTGCACGGACTCTCTCGCTCTTGCCGCACCCCACGAGGCACACACACATAATGTGCTCGTATATACACACAACTCCACTCATGCGGGCTCGTCGGCTTTCTTTTTGTTTTGCACCCGACGAGCCGCTGCCGCCCTGCTTGGCTGCATGGGTACAGCACCGTAACTGTTTTTATCCTTTTTTAGTTTGTTTGTTTTCATTGCTTTCAGTGGGCGACCTCTCTTTCTTGCTCTCTCTCTCTTCCTGGATTGGGCTGTGCGGGAACAGAGAAAGAGATGGAGTGTGTGCTGGTCGTCCCACGTGTTGCTGCGCGTCCCCACTGCTCGGTGGACGCGCCCCCACGCTTCGGCTTCACTTCACGGGGTTTGTTTCTTTTGTTTGTGTGCTTGTTGGTTGACTGCACCCATTGCGCGGGCTGCTGAAGTGTGAAGTGTGTGCGTGTGCCACAACCTTCGGGCGCCCCCCTCTCTTTCTCTCTCTCTCGCTGCGTGGCTGCGTGGGGTCGTGTGTGTCTGTGTGCCTATCTTTTTGTTTCTCTTCCCCTTGCATTCTCCTTTTGGCTGGTGGTTGGTGTGCAGCCGCAGCGCAAGACAACAACGCCTACAACAAAGTAAAGACACTGAAGAAACAATGACTGAAAGAGGCGGAGAAGAAACTCACGCTGCCGCAGAGAGCCCCGCCTCTATTACGCAGCGGCGGCACGCGTGGCCCGGGTCCGACGGCGGCGGTTCCAATCAACCCACTGCACAGCGCAGAAGGATGGAAGAAGCACCTGCGGGGCCACAGTGGGCTCTTTACAGTACCGTGGAGGAAGTGCTACGGCTTGAGGGAGTAGATGCTACAGAACGACCAACGCTAAACGACTTCATTATTAAGTACCTTGGCCCCAAGTTCATGGTCGACGAAGGCCACGGTATAAAA